TAATATCAGTACCATTGTTGTCTTAAGAAAGTAGCAACAACGGTCGTTTCTAAGGGTTTGCTTTCCAACTGGATATTTGTAAGATGTATTGATGGAAATGTTTAGCAAATGTTTGTTAGTGATATTTGAGTGAAGCATATGTTTGATATGAAAAAGAAATATTTTATAAACATTCTTACATAATATTTCTAATAGATATTTGTAAGATGTATGACATAAATGTTTTTCAAATGTTTGTTAATGATATTTGAGTGAAGCATATGTTTGATATGAAAAAGAAATATTGTTCAGATATCACATCAACATGAATGTCTCCTCGTTTTTAATGTACAGAAAAGTTTTAATAATTCTAACCTAAATAGTCAATTTTTTAACAATTTTTCGTAAATTTTTGTAATCTTTTACAAATATCTCCTCTGAAACTACACAGCCAAATTTTACCTAATTTGTCCACAATCATCATAAGGGTATCTAGTTTAAGAAATGTGTCCGATGACCCCGCCTGCAAGTCAACATGACGAGCATGGCTAAAAATGGAACACAGGGGTAAAATTCTGTTTTTTGCTAATATCTCTGAAACTAAAGCATTAAGAGCAATCTGACAGTGGGTAAAAATGATCATCACTATTCAGATTGGGAGATATCTGCGCTGAAATTTTCAGACAAATCAAACAACATGTTGTTGGGTTGCTGCCCTGAATTTTAAGGAAATTTTGGTTAGGCCAGGGTTTTTTAATTTGTTGGTTCACGGATTTTTCACATGAAAAAGTCAGGTCGGTCGGTCGAAAAAAAGAAAAAAAATATCTTTCAAGACAGAAAAATACGTTAAAAAATATATTTCACCTTACTAACAATATGTTTGGTATGATATTTTGACATCATTTCTTAAATTCTAGTTCCATGAAATATTATTGCTCAGCTGTTATAAACATAAAATGCTTGCCATCGTCATACAATTTCCAAAAAGGTGGAGGGGGGTATATTCACCGACAAAGACAAATTAAATCGTCATTTCACGCTCTATTTTAGCTCACCTTTTTTGTCATCACTTGTCATCATCTGTTCAGTGTAAACTATTTCAAAGATCTTCTCCTGAAACTACTGATCTAATTTCAACCAAACACCAAGCTGAATGATCCTTAAAGTGTTTATTATAGAGTTTGTGTTTTATTTTCTTGTTGGTCAAAACACATGGTTGTCATGGCTTAAAATTGAACAGATGCATTTTTTGGCTTATATCGCAAAAACTAAAACGTTTTGAGGAAATCTAAAAAGGGGTAAAAATGTTCATCAGCCACAAAATTTTCAGACAAATTGGACAATCGATTTTCGGGTTATTCCCCTGAATTTTTTTATTTTTAGGAAATTTTGCAGTTTTTGGTTATTATCTCGAACATTATTATAGACAAAGATGAACATTATTATAGACAAAGATAAACTGTATATTGCAAAAATGTTCAGCAAAGTAAGATCAACAAATAAGTCTGCTGACCAAAATTGTCAATTGACCCCTTAAGGAGTTATTGTCAATTTATTCATCATGTTTGCTAACTTTAAAAAAATCTTCCCCTCTGAAACTACTAGATCAATTCCAGCCAAAGTTCAGGGTATCTGGTGTAAAGGTTGTATTTTATGTTCTTGTACGTTAAAAAACAAAGCTGAAATAGAACATTGGGGTAAAATGCATTTTTTTTTTGGCTTTAAAATATGATAGAAACTTTAAATGGAATTTTTAAGCACACAAAAATAATCAGTGATGAAAGATATACACAATAAACTGCTTCGCTGAGCGCAGCTGGATACGCCCGCAGAGGTCAAACCCTGAACAGTTGGGGCAAAAATGGACACAATATTCAAGCTTGATACAGGTCTGAATTTGGATTGTATCAAATATTTGACATTATATAGGTTTCTGAATAAGTGTAGTCAAAGAACTTGAAATTGGTTATATGAATTGAATTTATATTCAATTAAAGATTTCTTGCTGTTGTGCAATACACTGTGCTGTTGCGCAATACTTAGTAAATCTGTTGTCAGACTATAAACATTTAAAGTTCAATTAATTCTCAATGTCAGATTAGAAATTTATGAAAATGTAAAGGGAGCTTACATCAATAGATATAAACAATTCACCAAAGTTTCATGAGAATTGCTGACAGGATTTATGAGTTATTGTCCAAAAACTGGAAAATCCCCCCTTTTTTAATGAATAAAACCCCATAACTCAGAAATGTAAAATGTAAAATTTATAAAATTCTAAACCGAGCTTACATCAATAGATATAAACAATTCACAAAAGTTTCATAAGAACTGCTGAAAGTATTTTTTATCTTTTGTCCAAAAACTGGAAAATCCCCCTTTTTTTATGAATAAAACCCTGTAACTCGGAAACGTAAAATCTAAAATATATAAAAATCAAAAGGGAGCTCATGTCAATAGATATAAACAATTCATCACAATTTCTTGCAAGTTGGTGAAAGCATTCTTGAGTTATTGTCCGAAAACTGGAAAATCCCCCTTTTTTTAATGAGTAAAACCCCATAACTCGGAAATGTAAAATCTAAAACTTATAAAAAACGAAAGGGAGCTCACGTCAATAGATATAAACAATTCACCAAAGTTTTATGCAAATTGGTTAAAGCGTTTTTGAGTTAATGTCCGACATGTTGACGACGGACGGACAGACGGACGGACGGACAGACGGACAGACGGACAACGGTATACCATAATACGTCCCGTAAACGGGCGTATAAAAACAGGTGAGCTATTCTGGCTCCTGAGCTTCTTGTTTGTAGAAGAATGTGTCATGAATCTTAATATTTTATCTTAATATGCAATTTTAGAATGAGACCAATTGTTGTTTGCCAATCAAAATAACGGTATACTTGTAATCTAATTATTATAATACAATTTTTTCATAATGTTTGAAAAAACAAAAAAAAATCAGTTTGTCTTAATATCTGCTTAAAGCTTAAATCTCAATTGAGTTTAAACATTTATGTTTTTTTTCAGAAAGCAAACAAGATGAGGAGGCCTGTAGTTGAAGATTCAGATTCTGAATAAATAAAATCTTTAAATGCTATTCAAGAAAATTCAATATTTATTGACAGCCATAATTTAGTCCTGTCATAGGAAATAAGCTATCCTATCAATGCTTTTATGTTGGCAGTATACCAAGTCATGATTTGACTGCTCTTAATTGTTTGAAAGAGTCAGAAAAATTGAAAGAGTCTGAAAAATATCACACAAAAATTTAAATATCCACAAGTCGGAGAAAAACAATCTCATTGCTAAACAAAATAAAAAAAAATAAACAGTCTACATTACACTACATATAATGATAGAACAAGAAACAGGTGCTCTGGAGGAGAGCTGATAGATATTAGTCTAAATATGCATGATATATTTGCAAGCTGAGAGTTGGCCTGATCATGAATTCAGATTCTATCAATATCTTGTTTCTTTTACAGTGTTTTATAGTGCTTTGAGTAAACCCTTTGTAATTGATATTTATTATTCAATTAAACTGTCACAAGTTTGTCCCAAGAAAAAGGTGAGGGTAGAGAACTCACAGATTGTTGTAACTCAACTCTTAAGTAAGTCTCATTCTGCATTAACCTTGTTTGTTCACAATTATTATAAAAGAACAATTTTTGGAACTTTATAGTTGGTAGCATCTATGCAGAGTTGTAAAGTGTCAGCCGACTACTTCAATCTGTTTGTTCCTGTATTTCCAGCACTATCAACCACAAGTTTTTAGGCATGCTCATGCGGTACTACAATATTTATATTCATGTTTTTATTTAAGAAAAAGATGGGGCAAAGGGTTTTCATATTTAAATTTTAGCAAGTTGTAGGTGAAGGAATACTTTCATTTTTATTTTATTTGGAGAAATTTTATTAAAACGTTTTTTTAATGATTAAAAAATATTATTTATATTTAATATTTAGTACTTTCTAACATTAGTTTTACGTTGTTTTTTTTATATTGTTGAGGAATATTTTGATAAAACATTTGAAGAATGTTTTCTTTTATATATATATATATATATATACTTTTTCACTTTTTTGGTCTTTTGGAAAATGTTGTTTGTGCTGTATTTAGACCCCTCTAACAAGAAATTTGTTTTGCATGCACACGTATAAAAATTGCGGTTTTTATCCAACGCAATCATAGGTTTGAACGTTGTTTTCAATTTAGACTTTTATATATATATATATAATATCAAGATATTATATTTATATCAAGATATATATTTCTGATATTTAAAAAATGTTATAAACATATTATCTTGTATGTTGTTCAAACAGTTGATCACTTCCATACACAAAATATTGTTTAAATATTTATATAATGTTTTTAAGAAATATTTTATCAAAATAAGCCTCAGATATTTTAAAAATATTGGGAAGACATCCATTAAACATTGTTGAAATATTTAATTTACATTTTCAAGAAGTATTTCTGCCAAAACTTGCCTTTAATATTTTAAAAAATATTTGGTAGACATCCATAAAACATATTATAGACATGAAATGGATATTTTTTTAAAACGTTTTATATATGTTGTCTGGATATTTTCAATTGACACTGAATAATATCAAAATTATGTTATTTAAATATAAAATCAAGATATTTAAAAATGATGCTCTTTAAACATTCAGCACAAATATTTCAAGAAAATATCTATTCATATGAGTACAGCCATACATTTCACGTCAAAAAAATATTTTTGAATGATATTTTTGTGACATTTTGCAATATATTTTAGAAATATCAATAAAATGTTTTTGTGCTACCTGGGTAAAAACAAAACATGCCCTCAATCAAGACATGCAAAACATGTCTATGAAGATTGTTTGCTGTTTTTTATGATATAGGCAAAAATTAACGATTTTTAAAATACAAAATAAAGTCACATCAAGATAAAAAAAAAGTTATAATATATATATATATCCAAGTTACATTTTTACCACAAGTTTATATTAATCATAATTACCTAACTCTGGATTTGCTGCTTCTACAGGTTGATAAAATGTTTCTACCAGAACTGTATTTTCCAATTCCAATAAGGTCAATAAGTCAATCACAGCTTTACAAATTTCTTCCACATTTTTCACTTTATGGAACGTCACACAGCTACTGCCGTGCCATATGGTGCCCGAGGGTTTTACCACGATCTGTTTATTATAGATAAAAATAACACTATAAATAGTATATTTGTGTACACTTAGTGTTAAAAAGATTGTGATATGAAATTGGTAACATATGCGAATTAAAGTGTTGCTTTTTTTTTTTTTAAGTTCCTTTGAGTATTATAAAACCTGTGTATCAAAAAACAAAACTGAATGTGGTTTCTCACCTGACAATTTCACTTAATGAGGGGTCTGATGGGTTATTTTCGTTCTTCGTGATCTGCGCATTTTCGCTATCGTGATCCGTTTTTCTACAGATTTTATTTTTATATTTTCGTGATCCGTGATCATGGAAATTTATTTTCTGTGAATCGTGATTGACAAAAAAATCAACTCGTGAATCGTGATTAAACCCCCCCCCCCCCCCCCCCCCCCATCAGGCCCCTCCTTAATATTACAGTTGAACTTTTTTTAATTTATTTCATGTTTATTTCTTCCTTTCTAACTTTGTTTAATCCCTTTTCTTATAGAATATACATTTAAAATAGGAAAATATTTTCCACCAGAGTAACCAACCCTTTTTGGTTGGGTTTGTGTTGAATTTATCATTTTTTTTAACTGTTACTGTTACTAGAATTTATAGTTTTTTTCCTATTTCTTTTCGTCAACGCGTAGTTTTATTGTCCTTTTATATCGTCTTATTAATTTTAATTTTGTTTTTACTTTTTTAAATATATTTTGTGTAGTATACGCAGGGGTAACCCTTCATCTTAGTACAGAAAAATTCAGTCCCCCCTAATCGATCTCTGCTACTTGCCATTGTAGAGCAGCGGAAATATAAGACTGAAATTATTCGGGTTAAGAGAAAAGGTATCACTATATAAATGTGTATACCTTATCAAATGACTTGACTCTCTCCATATTCAGGAACTGTCTTACGTTTTTTTCAATGTAATTATCCATGCCATGTTTATTTTCGACGATCAGCACTTTCATATTTGCGTCCTTTGGAATGTTGTATTCATACGATGGTTTATAAGCAATAGCCAGGGTTTCTGGGTAGTTAACTCCCGCTTCCGCCATCCATATACGAGACAGAAGTTTATCGTCCACATATTTGCACAGCTCAACAGAACTTGACATTGGACAGTCCAAGTCCTGCTCAACATCCACACCGTCATTTCTTTGGCCATCGGTGATCGCCTTTGTGAAGAAATTTACAAAGTAGGAACACCGTCTAGGTTTCTCGAAGACATCGACATATGTCGTTCCTGATCGATCAAAAACAATTGCCTTCTTGACTAACAGCGAATGCAGACCTTCACCTTTATTAGATTTCTCCTTTACAAGCCATGTTGGCGACAACACGAGAAGCATATCGCCCGGACATTGGCGCCCACCTTCTAGCAGTATCGCCAGGCATTCCACAGGTGATGCCAGTACAACTATAGCGACTTCCGTATCACGCTTTCGTGTTCTCGGCTGCTTCGTTCTGTCCACAGTCTCGGGAAGGTTGTTTTCGAATAAGCTATACTGTAAAGCATTGTAGTAATCCTGAATGTTGACGTCATCTTTGTTCAGTGAGACAGACGCATCTGGTGGTGTTAGATCGACATCTGTGTCCCACGCGTTATAGCTACCTGTTGTAGTTATGTATTCTACCGCTTTGTGGGCTAATTCCTCCTGCTTCTGGATTATATGGTTCTGAAATATAAAAAAAAATATCTCTTTGAGCTGATTTTTTTATACCAAAATTCGGAAATATATTATAAGGAAGATCGTAGTATGTACACATGTAAAATAAATTGGTTTATTTTAAATAATTACTTATATATCATACAGGTTATAGTTTGCGGTAAGGGTAAGAGTTCAATGGAAAGAATATAATTTCTTCGGAAAAAAGGTCTTTTATAATTTTTGTGTTTCCTTATGGAATTGCAGAAAAAATCAAAGCAACGACTGCATTAAATGTTTGTTGGCTGAGGGTGTGGTTATTTATACTAATTTTAGCAAAGGCAGTGACCAATCAAGCGCAACTGAATAACTCATGTTTATTAGCGAATGACCAATGATGTGGTTTGGGATAAAAAAAACATTGCTGATAGACATAAGTATTACTACATGAACAATAATATATCCAATAAACGAAACAAAATGATAATTAAAAATAAAGTATTGTAGATCAGTTTCAATAGTGACCACAAGATAAGAGCAATTTCACGTCCAAACCTTCTGTTTCAAAACCCCCAAATTATGGTTGTTAGTTTATTAAGCAAATTATCAAACGATATCATGAGGATCTGAGAGCTACGGTTCCGCAGCTTTAGTAGTATAGGCTGTACCATTCATATATTTTTTTTTTTGGGGGGGGGGGGGGGTCGAAAGATCGCTTTGGATAAAAAAAAACAATTCAATAATTCAAAAATGTCCCTTTTGTATCCTTCGCCTCTCTTTCACATAGTTTGGGGGTGTTGGGGGCAATGTGGCTGCAAGTTTTGTTATCCTACATTGATTTTTCAGGTAAAAGAAATAAGTATGAAAGTCTGGTCCTTCATTTGTTTGCTCCTTTTTTGCAAATAAAAGGTAATACATTATACATAGTACAGGATAAATTTGGGCGAAAACATAGATACAAAGCTGATAATTTCGATTGTGGGCACGTAGAATATGCATGTTAAACATTGATTGTAGTGCATGTAAAAACGTAATTCACAGTACGTAAGATATAACGTTAACTGTAGTATTATATATATTTCATGCATAAATGCACATCAATATTTCCAGTCAGGTATGTTTCCGCCCTAAGTATACGGAAGACACTGTATTCATTGTTGAGGAAAACACAGTGACTCACGAAGCATTTAAAAACATTCTCTCAACGCATTTGTATACCAGTCAATCAAAACACTTCCATATTACAAAAGGGGAAGGGGGGGGGGGGGGGGGTCCGGGAAAAAACCTATATAAATTTAGTTTTATTCCTACATTGAACTAATGATGTGGTCTCTTACAATGTACCAGTAATATTTTACAAACCTACGGGTCAAGTATATCAATAATGTCTGTGAAGACATTTATATTGTTGTTTTGTAATTATTTTTTTTTTATTATTATATTATTATTTTTTGTTTGGGGAGGGGGGGTGTAATACCAACAGGAAATAATGAGTATGCATATACCAATTCAAGGGACTCGGCTATAGTTGTAAACTCGGTATAGGCACCGAACTTTCTTCGTTTGATGATCTTTGATGTGTGAGGTTTTTTTTCGGTACATCTTTTCATTTTATCAAAATTGTACTACATGTTCCGGTTCCGTTTATTGTCTAAAAATATTTCAAGGTACGCCAAGTACTACGGTTTCCAAGTAAATTGAGAAATAAAGATATATCTGTTTTATACTTTAACTGTGCAGTCAAATTGCATTGACCGTAACTGACCGGTTGTCACTTGTTTATTGCGTTGGCAATGCATTTTCCAGTGCATTAATAGAATTTTGACTTGTCAGCTTCGAAATCAAAATGGTTTATTTTAAACAAAAATATTTCATTTTAAACGGTTACAAGAGTTACTGTATAAAGTATAAGGAGAATAACTTTTTTCTCTCTTGAAATATAAATTTTATTTACACTCGGCTCGGAACCGGAAAGAAACGGCCAACAAATCCTTGCATTATATCCGTTTTTGGAAAGTTTGCTATAGCTTGCTATTATAGCAATATACTTTCCTAAGGCATCGGCCTCAAACCGGAAGCTGGACAGACTATCGCATGTGTTCTACTCCTAGATAATGTAGTACTAGTGTTTGAATACTAATTCTAGGAAGATGCTTTTGAAATTTTGAGTTACTTATATTTTGATTAGCTTACAGCTTGAATTAAAATGTACTGAATGTTCATCGATAATTCAAATGAATTCAACTTCATTTTGAAAATGGCTATCACAAACACTACTTCGCGGATCTGCGCTGCGCGGAAATTTAAATCAATACACATCTACACGAGACAGCAGTTTCTACGTTATGCTTTTATCCCGACGGGAATACAATAATCCCGGTTTCAGGGGTTTCCTCCCGTCCTCCGGTTGAAGAGAAAATAAATACCGTGTTTAAAATATTTCATGAATGAACATTTTTCGACGCTATTTTAACTACGATATTACAAATGTTTATTAAAGACGTAAAAGCCCGAGTGTATCGAAAGTAACATGGTATCTCATCTCGGCCCATAACAGACTCGGACTATAATAAACTCGGCCTATTACATAATCGGACTATAATAAAATTCGTATATACTATTTGTTATTAAGTCTCCCAAAGAAAGTTTGGAGACTTAATGTTTTTGCTCAGATCTTATTATTTTTCTTCTTGGGGTCTATTTATGGGTATTTTGAGGGGCCTACAGAAGGGAGGGATTTACTAAAGAACCCTATGGGATTTTATATTTTTTTAAATTTTCAAATGACTATAACTTGAGAACAGTAAGTGATAGACACACGCGGTCTTCAGTCATGATCACAGGACAATAAAACAAATCAAATAAAATAAAGGTTGAGTCCCTGGGGTCACCCCATCCCCCTTCAATTTGAGAATGGGCTTTTACCTTGTAAACAGTCGAGATCCCCACACCTAAACCATATATATTCATGTATGGGATAATAAAACAAATCAAATGAAATATAGTGGGAGTCCCTCTGGGTCACCCACACCCCCTCCTGTTTGAGAACTTGTAAACGGTCGAGATCCCCACCTTGGAACCATATATATTCTTGAATTGGACAATAAAACAAATCAAATGAAATATAGGGGAGTCCCTGGGGTCACCCCACCCCCTCCTGTTTGAGAACTTGTAAACGGTCGAGATCCCCACCCCTAAACCATATATATTCTTGTATGGGACAATAAAACAAATCAAATGAAATATAGGGGGAGTCCCTGGGGGTCACCCCACCCCATCCTGTTTGAGAACTTGTAAACGGTCGAGATCCCCATCCCTAAACCATATATATTCTTGTATGGGACAATATAATAAATCAAGTGAAATATAGGGGGAAGTTAACGGGGGTCACCCCCACCCCCTTCTTTTTGAAAACTTGTAAACGGTCGGGATCCCCACCTCAAAACCATATATATTCTTGTACGGGACAATAAAACAAATCAAATGAAATATAGGGGGAGTCCCTGGAGGTCACCCCCACCCCATCCTGTCTGAGAACTTGTAAACGGTCGAGATCCCCAACCAAAAACCATATATATTCTTGTACGGGACAATAAAACAAATCAAATGAAATAAAGAGTCCCCTGAGAATCACCCCCCCCCCCCTTTTTTGAGAACTTGTAAACGGTCGAGATCCCCACCCCAAAACCATATATATTCTTGTACGGGATAATAAAACAAATCAAATGAAATATAGCGGGAGTCCCTGGGGGTCACCCCACCCCCTCCTGTTTGAGAACTTGTAAACGGTCGAGATCCCCACCCCTAAACCATATATATTCTTGTATGGGACAATAAAACAAATCAAATGAAATATAGGGGAGACCCTGGGGGTCACCCCCACCCCATCCTGTTTGAGAACTTGTAAACGGTCGAGATCCCCACTTTTCTCGTACGGGACAATAAAACAAATCAAATGAAATAAAGAGTCCCCTGAGAATCACCCCCCCCCCCCCCCTTTTTGAGAACTTGTAAACGGTCGAAATCCCCACCCCTAAACCATATATATTCCTGTTCATGATTTCAAGAAGATTTGAATGACATACAGGGTTAATCCCTAGGCGTCACTTATGCATATCACTTTACTAGACCAAACCAATTTGTACTGGACTTTGCCCAATGTCAGGCGACCATGGGAATGACTAATTATGGGAGCTTTGTTTGGGAGACTTCGTAACAGCATCCTGTTACAATTATTTCTTGTTTTAAGTAAAAAAAATTAGAAGTCGGAAAAAAACGTTAACCACACAATCTACTAATCGTAGTCCGAGTTTGTTCAATATATAACAATTCAAACAAGAAAACTAACTGCTTAATTAGTAATAATACAATTTACTACAAACAAATATGAAGGACCTTAATCAATAAAAAATACTTAATCACAGGCCCTTTACATGGGATGGACACAGAAAGAAATTAACAGAGCTTTCTGTATATTTGATTTTTTAAAATCTACAGTATAAGGTTGCAATAGAAATTATCAAAATTTTACATGACGAACATATGAAAAAAGTGATTTTTGATAATTGCTGATGAGACAATGGTTTAGGGAAAAACACCAAAGCTGTGATTAAATACATATTTGAAATAATACACATCTACAACCTATTTGAAATAATACACATCTACAACCTATTTGAAATAAGACACATCTACCGTTGCAAGCTTTCCACAGGTGCTATCCAGCACTTTGATTTAGCCTTGTACACATAATATTTATATTTCGATACAATGAAATACTTATTCTACATGTATTACACCGAATGTCATGAATGCAATAAACTGATAAAGATGGTCAAATTATTTTTTTCATTCCAATTTTTTTCTATAGTATTCTTTCACCGTCAGAACGTTAGCAAACCGGTCGCATTTAAAAAAAAACGCAATTATAATTATTAAATTGTCATTTATAATATAAATAAATGCTTACCTTTACCGGTAAGCTATTATCCTTTAAGTTAAGGTTGCTAAAAGAAATACTCTCTTCTGTAGACAATGACATCGTCAAATAAATTCAAGGAGAATAGATTTTTGTTTAAATACGATACACGATAAGTACAGCATTGATCGCGAACCGGTTCTGTCCGCTTTAGTTGTGTTGATTCGAGATAATACTGGCGATCCTTCAGCTGGTTTTTTTTCGTGCGGGAATTTATAAACATTTTTAACCTTTATTTTAGAAATGTTGTATATGTTTACAAAAATTACTGAATAAATATATGGAATTTAATATTTTCGCATTGTTAGTAATCAGAGTTAGTAATTATTGTTTACAAAAATATTTTATCTATAAGTACAAATTGATATGTTATTATTTTACATATATGGTTAATTTGATCAGTATTAATTTCCGTATCCTAACGTGTTTATATTATGTTTCTTTTTGTCATTTTGTCATTTCATTCTAAAGAAACAACCTTTTAACTTAAAAAGGAGTATAAAAGGACACATTTTTTTCTACAACAATCAAACCAAATTATTATTTTTCTTTCCAAGTCGAAACGGAAGATTTGTTTTTCATTTTTTCGCTGATGTTTATAATGTTACGAAATAATCGGAAGGAATAGAAAATATATAATTATAATTTACAAAAATATTTGATTTTCAATACAAATTTAGGGGGAGGGGGGTTATATTTTTTTATATTGGTTTGACTTTTTAGTCTAGCCTGTGACATTTATGTCGCGAAAGCGAGACACAGCGATCCTAGATTCAGTCGTCGGCGTCGGCGGCGGCGTCAACGTTTAGTTTCAGTCTATGATTAAAGCTTTTTTGAATATCAATAACTTTGTCAAACCATCATGATATTTAGATGGACTTAGGTTTTTTACAATTAACATTCAGATTTAGTCTGACTCAGAGGTTAAAATTTTTCAGTCATCAATAACTTTGTCAAATTTTCATGGAATTCTATGAAATTTGGACAGAAGCTTAATTGTTTATGACCAAAATACAGTAAGTATCCAGAGCAATATTTTGAAAATATTTATTTTCATTTTTCCGTATTTTACTGATAAATGTACTTATTTTTTTTTTACTGTTTGTTTCACATCAATTACTTTGTCAAACCCCCATAGAATTTTATGAAACTTTGACAAGCTTTTTTATGATTTAGAGTAATGTCTGAAGCAAACTTTTAAAAATATATTTTCATTTTAAGTATTCTTATGCCCCACCTACGATAGTAGAAGGGGCATTATATTTTCTGGTCTGTGCGTCCGTTCGTTCATCCGTTCGTCCGTCCGTCTGTCTCGCTTCAGGTTAATGTTTTTGGTCAAGTCAGGTTAAAGTTTTTGGTCAAGGTAGTTTTTGCTGAAGTTGAAGTCCAATCAACTTGAAACTTAGTACACATGTTCCCTATGCTATGATCTTTCTAATTTTAATGCCAAATAAGAGTTTTGATCCCAATTTCACGGTCCACTGAACATAGAAAATGATTGTGCGAGTGGGACATCCGTGTACTATGGACACATTCTTGTTCTGATAGACTTAGTTTTTTACAGTTAACATTAACAGACAGTCTGGATTTACATTTTTTGACATGATAAATTTGTAAACTTCATGGATTGTTATGAAACTTGGACAGAAGCTAATCTATAAGACCAAGAAATAGCATCTAAAGAAAAAGTTTGATTTTTTTTAAATTTCTGTATTATCCTGATACATGGACACTTTTTATTTCAACATTACACTTTTACACTGACAGCAGCATTCGCAGGCAAGACCCAGGGTTCCACGGAACCCCTTACGAATTTTTTATACATTATTTTTTTTCAAATTTGACTATTTACAGATTTACTTCTATAGTTTTTTTTACTCAAAACCCAAAACAGGGTAAATATCATCATATTTTAGGGCAATGACTCCTATAAGAAGACGACTGACTATTTCATCTATGCTGACCTATTTGCAGATCTTATCTTGCTGATATATTGTTTAAAGTTTCTATCTATGAATGAAAGGTATTACGATAATTGGCAAAATACTAAAAGAAAATGGTAAAATTGTCATTAAAGAGCACTAACACTTATATGTGTCGTTTTGCGCTACACCCATTTGCACCAATAATATTTTTGCGCAATTCGTATTCAAACAACATTTACCTAGTCTCATTTACGCCAAAAATATTAAATGTGCAATTACAGTAATTTTTAGACAAGTCTCATTTTATTATGATAACAATTCCTCTTTCCCTCTACTTTTATCGTGTATGTAATAAACTTAACTGTCAGTTTAAAGTGTTTGATATAATGACATATTTTAGGATGAACATAAAACATTAAACAATTTATAGTCGGAGGACATCTTTTTCATATCATGGAACCATCCAACGACAAATGATTCTTTTATTCTTTTCTGAACTCATATCTGCTGCTTACTTTTTGCAGTTGAATTTGTTCTCCGTGATATATCTTAATGAATTATTGTATTTAAGGTAACATAATCAGGGGCGGATCATGGATTTTGAAAAGGGGGCCGGGGGAGTGTAATTCCATAAAACTGAAGAAATAGATCCGAGCGTAGCGAGACTGAAACAAATTTGGGCTATTTAATGCTAAAATTGACATATTGTACAATTGATAGGGGTGGGTCGTAAGCCCTCTATGCACCCCTTAATCCTTCACTGATGATGTACTAAGGACTGAAATATCTTACAAGTCTTGTAAAGATAGAGATCAGTTGATACATATGCACACAGTTGTTTGCGTAAATGAATTCCGTAATCCATCTTCGATAGCCAAGGGTTAAGATCCAGTGCCGAGAGGAGGGGACTGGATCGTAACCCTTGGCTGGCGAAGATGCCCGTAATCTTGCGTAATTGATATTATATTTAAAAATAACAATTGGCAAAAGTTAAGGGTAAAACAACTGTCTCTCATTCAAATTAGTATAATTATGTTTACCTTTCCAGGACACCAGGGACCGGTTTCACGAAGCTATCCAAAGACCTGTCATAAGATATATCTTAGGACATGTCTTATGATCCTCTTAGTTATTAATATCTTAGGACATATTTCAGACTTTGCCTTAAATTGAAGCTGTCTTAGGATAATCTTAACAAAGATATCCTAAACCTGTCGCAAGTTCTTTAAATTTTTAAATATTAATATGGATTTATGTTTGTAATTGTAAAATACACATTTATTGATCACTAATGCTATTATTATATTTGTATATGTAAATTCTATAAGCTGTATTGCTTTTGAATAAAAGACTATTATTATTATTATGGAAAAATTCATGTAAATGTAGTATGTGTTTCCCATAAATTACTAAACGTATTGATATTCCATAATTAAATTTAGATAATTTGCAAAGTTAATTTAAAAAATAAGTGCAATTTATATAGATAAGTTAGGACCACTTTGTGAAACCCACGTAAGACTAAGATATATCGTAAGACCATCGTAAGACAGCTTTGTGAAACTGGCCCCTGACATCAGTATATAGATTTTTTAATTCCTCTTGTACAGAGATTTGTAATACATGACAATTATATGATAATAAGATCAAATCATTCATGAATAATTATTGTTTTGGCAAGTAAAGGGCAAAACATAATTAAATCGTCTTAGAGAAAAACACACGAGCAGAGTCACGTAAGAACTTGGTGCAAATGTTCACAAAGCTGTTAATATCACATTTTATATCTGGACAGTTTTCTTTGTTAAGATTTGTAGAATTTTAAATTATAAAAAAAAACATTTAGTTATAAATAGTCTGCCTGCTTTTGTCAATACATATACATGTGCCTCGTTGTGAGGATTGTGTTAAATTCTTTATGTTCTTTTGGTTCGTATTCGTTTATTGTCCAAACTGTCACATAGTATAAATAATTAAATGAAAAGAATTAGACCCCGTTTACACTAGCAAAAAGATCGATCTTTAGTCTAATGTAAACGGGAAAGATCGATCTTTAGTCTAATGTAAACGGGAAAGATCGATCTCCAATCGGACTTAAAAAGTCCAACTCCAGAGGTAGTTTTAAACAGATCTATATCTTTTATGAACCGCTATTTCTCAAGGTGTAGACACTAAATTGACTAATATCGATCGCGATCGATCCTTCTAAAAGCGAAAGTGTTATATATTTAGATATGCAAATAAATCTGCGCATGATCAGATTGGTATATCCTTATAAATCTCTGCCTCCCGGGGTTTCGTACAAATTCTTTAATAATTTGACAGAACTTGAGAATAAGACAAGTAAACAAAGAAATATATTCCAATATTTTTGCATCATTCTTCTGAATAGATAAATCCTATTTCTTTGCTGCAAACTCCTCATTTTTAAACGAAATGCCCTTTCCCTTATAAGTGATAGTCTTCTCACATATCTTTGTTTAATGACTTGTGAATCAAAAAGATAATTAATAACTGCATCTAAGTAATTCTAAAAAAAACAACTATTTCCTGAAATGCACATGTTGTCATATTCTATACTTACGATTTTGTGTTAACGAAATGTACGGGTATTAGGTCAGACCGATTCTTTTTATATTGCAGTGTAACCTCAAGATCACGATCTATCTTGATTGTGCTCAAGATCGATTCAAATAAAGATCGGTGCAATTTCGTGCTGTGTAAACAGGGTCAGTCCTATTAGAGATTTTGACACTTATTTCGTGTAATATACTTATACATGATATAAGTAATGTCTAATTTTATGACAAAGTCCGGAATAATAAAATATGAAAATTAATGAAATATATGCCTGATATAAAAATACAGTAAAACAATTGACGCAATAAAATTGTTGTTTACGCTAATTTCACACTTCACAGTCAAAATAGTCCGGTCATACTTTTAAGTTGTCTGCACCTACACATTGAACATGAACCCATTTCATTTAAATGATAATCACTTTTGTAAAGTGGTCGGAAATAACCGGATTATACAGAAAATGTGAAAAATAAGAGAAATAACATTAATGTAAATATAGTTTATATATTTTTTGGTATTTTGGAAAATGTTGTTTGTGCTGTATTTAGACCCCTCTACCAAGAAATTTGTTTTGCATGCACACGTATAAAAATTGCGGTAT